TTGATAAATATCGATATCGAATCGATAAGTTTAACGAAAAATACGACTTTAATGGAAACGAAGTTTGGTAAAATAAAGTATTTTCATGTACTTTATTATTCTTATAAAGTATAGAGTACAATTACCTTTAATAACGTACAATACTTTATTATAAAGTACGGGTGGCAACCCTATTTGGAAAGAAAGTAAAGACGACTGAACTGATTGGGAATTTATTTACGACTCCGTCTTAATACTAAGTTCGTGGGCGCAGCCACATAGTACCTTACACAAACACGTGTCCTTAGCATGCACTTTGTGTCCCTACAATCTTATCCCCTATTACATGGAAACATGGAGCTCATTACACAATTCAATTAAGCACTTAGACCTCAGCCTTCATCTTCCTCCTTATATACTGATCACGAAAAGGTAAAACAGTGTAAAGGATCTATCAAACACGAATTGAACGACCATTTATACACCGTATTACGGTATCCGACCTACAATTTCCTACATTAGGTACAACTTTGTATATCGTATGTATATCTTGAAACCAATATGGCATAACTCAATACTCGTAAAAGGGTAGGATATCACTCTCGTCTTCGATAAGCACCATTTATTTTAACCATACACTTACGTACATTTTCTTGTTTATTGGTATACCCTTACTATCCTGATATTATAAATGCGACAGTGTGTTTGTTTATATTCCTTTTACATTATATCGGAGCGTTTCCGTTGTATAATTTTTGTGTGTCGAGAAAGTCAGGATGCTATAGAGTGATATAGGGTTTCTTATGAAAAAAATCCCCTTAAAACATTACTATAAGAAAAATACTTATTAGTCAAATACCAAAAAGAAAGTACGATGTTAGGTAAGCACATTAACTTATGTCTTATGGTACATTCACATTCAAATTATTAATCGCTAGTTGTTCGCAAGCCGCTTGCGAGGTGCTCGCATGCCGTTTGCAAGATGTTTGCGGGCCGATTGCGAGTTCAATGAGACAAATTAGCACAAACAAATCATACACAGCTATTGTCAGACTTCTCTCATAGGATAATGTAAGTTTTAAATGGTCTTAACGGCAACAAATCTTTGTTAATCTTACTGGCTATTCGCCAATCGTTGTAATGTATGGTGACTTGCTGAGCTATGGACCGTACGAAACGATTTATAGAGGGACTAGTGACCTTATGGGGCCTAGGAAATAGGTAGGTCTAATTCTGTACTGACTTAATTGATGTAACTACGTACTAAGTTTTTTTAAGATGGTATTTTGCCCTATTATGTGGTTTTTGACTTTATAATAGGTACTTACGGATTGTAATGTTGTCTTTCTTCATTTTACGCTGACGTTTATACACGAAACAGGATAAAATCCTAAAAAGGGCCACAAGGAGTGAGATAGTGGTCAAACGTCGGCCCATCAAATATAAAAAAGGAAATATTCTTGTGGCCCTACCTAGGAGTTTCTCAAAGGGGTAAGGGAAAGGGGAATACCCCTTTATCGTGTCTCAATACTGTGTCAAAATAAGTAAATAATTTCATATAAATCAATTCGTTCAACGTCGTGGTGGCCCGGAGGTTTAAGACGCCCACTTCTCATGCATGAGGGTGTGGGTCCGAAACCTACCAACGGCAAGTACCAATGTGACTTTTTCTGAGTTATATGTACTTTCTAAGATTATTTAGACACCACTGACAAACGGTGAAGGAAAAACATCGTGAGGAAACCTGGACTTATAATTTCTAATTATAAGTTTGAAATCGCCAACCCGCATTGAGCAAGCGTGGTGATCAATGCTCTAACCTTCTCCGTGTGAGAAGAGGCTTTGCTCAGCAGTGGGCATTTATAGGCTGTTGATGATGAAATCAATTCGTCCAAAAACAGCAAATGCGATAAAAAATGGTTTTATTTAATTACATTACACTGTTGAAAAATGTAGTCTACCTACGAGGTTTGTTAAGATAATTCTATCAAAGAAGAAATCGCACCAGGCGGCGGCCGATTTAATGGCGACAGCGGTTGCGACAGTCGTTGAGAGAATCCGGCAGTTGGGACTCGAGGTGGCGCTCCACAAGTCCGAGGCCATGTGTTTTCATGGCCGCGGGAATGCGCCACCTCCTGGTGGGTCTCAAATAATGGCGGGAGGGGTTACCATCGGCGTCGAGACGGCGATGAAGTACCTGGGACTCGTCCTCGACAGTCGATGGAACTTCGTGGAGCACTTCCGACGTTTGGCTCCAAAGTTGGCGAGGGTGGGGGCTGCGTTTAAGCGCATCCTCCCCAACCTCGGGGGGCCAAACGCCTCCTGCCGGAGGTTATACGCCGGGGTCGTGCGGTCCATGGCCCTCTACGGCGCCCCTGTTTGGGCGCCGAACCTGCTGCAGCGGCCCGCTCGGGCGCTGCTTATGGCACAGAGGGTCATGGCGATCCGAATGATCCGCGGATACCGCACGATCTCTGGGGAGTCGGCGAACCTCCTTGCCGGATTACCGCCGTGGGATCTGGAGGCGAAGGTGCTCGCGCGCGTGTATCGCATGCGCGCGGAGGCACGTCGCCGGGGCGAAACTCCGCTGCCGCGCCAGATAAGTGCGTGGCGGGATGAGCTCCGGCGCGATCTCATGGCGGAATGGCAGCAACGACTGTCGCAACCGAGGGCTGGGCTCGCTGCCATTGCAGCGGTAAGTCCCCTCTTTGAGAGTGGCTTGAGAGACGCTACGGCGTCCTCACCTACCGCCTGACGCAGTCCTCACCGGACATGGAAGTTTCGGGGAGGTACCTGTGTCTGATGGGGCGGGAGGAAACGCCCGGGTGTCATCACTGCGAGGACCACCCTGAGGACACGGTGGAACACACTGTTGCGGAATGCCCTGCGTGGGCTGAGCACCGCCGTGCCCTCAGGGAAGTGATCGGCGATGGAGACCTCTCGCGTCCGGGCCTAGTTCAGGCCATGATGCGGAGCGAGGGGGACTGGGATGCCGTCTCCTCCTTTGCGAAGCAGTCATGCTGGCTAAGGAGGAGGGCGGACGCGTGGAGGCAGCGAAGCGCTGCCTCCTCGCAACCCAGCCATCGCGAAGGACACACCGGGCGTCGGGGATCGCGGGACGATCTCCGGCCACCGTAAGCGCGGGCCTGCGGACGGCGAGCATGGGTGGCTCCCCGTCCGACCAGAAACAGACCCGAGCGTACGGCGCGTCGCGTTCCGCGCGCGCCTCAAAGAGCCATCAGACCACCACAGATGGGGCCCAATAGGGCCGATGCCGATTCGGAGTCGCGGAGAACCTAACGGGTAACCGGGGCTCCGGCTCGACGTGCAGGAGAAGGAACGGGGTGGTTTTTAGTCAGTAAAGTCTGACACTCCCTTCCGCCTCACCCAGGCGGGAGCAGCCATTCGATGATTTTCCCCCCCTTAAAAAAAAAAAAAAAAAAAAATCAAAGAAGAAAAAAAATATTTCAGTTGTACAAAATGAAATGCTAATATTTTAATAGCGCGCGCTATCTTAGCTGGTACCTACCTACAAAGTGAAAATACTCTATTCGTACATTGACCCTGTAAGATAAAACCTTTTTTATATGGTACAGGCGCATTATTTATTGTGTTATGTCACTTATGTTCCGATAATCCCACGTTTATCTTGCTTTCGTTTATCACTTGTATTTTAAATTTAATTATATTTGTCAAATATATGTCGTGGTGGCCCGGAGGTTTAAGACGCTGGCTTCTCATGCATGAGAATGCGGGTTCGAAACCTACCAACGGCAAGTACCAATGTGACTTTTTCCGAGTTATATGTACTTTCTAAGATTATTTAGACACCACTGACTAACGGTGAAGGAAAACATCGTGAGGAAACCTGGGCTTATAATTTCTAATTATAAGTTTGTAATCGCCAACCCGCATTGAGCAAGCGTGGTGATTAATGCTCAAACCTTCTCCGTGTGAGAAGAGGCTTTGCTCAGCAGTGGGCATTTATAGGCTGTTGATGATGATGATGATATTTGTCAAACTTGCTACCATTTTTCTAACTTATTTGTTTAAAAAAAGTTTTTTTTTTAATTTATTTATAATATTAAAACTTTAATGAGTTTTTTATATTTAATTCTTATTAATGTATAGAAATTGAATCGTTTCATAGAACTAGTAATAAAGTCAACAAAACTTCACATTACCTAGTCTGTACGATACCTGTTGAAGGCAACTTTGTATGAGTAAAGTTTCAATATTTCACGAGCCGCCATCATTGTTCTACCTCAGACGTAGAACCCTGTTCAATATAAATAAATAATACGTAGCTTTCGATCGAATAAACAGTACTTACCTACTCTAAAATATTATCATCGGTACACATTGATACATTGAACTGAACTCCTAATTGAGTACAACGCCATCTAGTATTTATAAGATTAATATTGTAAACTCATGCAGTTTTACCGACAGCGCCGCTCTGCGCATGCGTAGATGTGTTCGAGGCCACGGTCACAACTACAATCACTGGTTGATTACGCACACATTGGCGGCCCGGTTCGCTCCGTTGTCAAACGTGTCTGACATTTTGTAGTAAATAATGCTGTAATTGAAGTGATTTTATCGTGTTTGTGATAGTGAAAAGAAATAAATGTAAGTATTACGTTTTATTATAGCTAATTTACATCGATTTCAATGATTATTCAGCCTATTTAACACAGAATGTTGCAGTACAATAACCTTACAGTTTTGGCTGCAGTGCGCATGTCAGGTTAATTATTCAATGGTGTTATCACTTAATAACTGGAGTGGACTATAAAGCAGACTTTATCATAAACACATAATAATGATAAATGCTATATATTTTTATTCTAAATTTGGTCACTATGCTGAATAAGAGACACAATTTCGACTAACATTATAACATCCGATATGGTCTAGTGGCTAGGATACCTGGCTCTCACCCAGGAGGCTCGGGTTCGATTCCCGGTATCGGAATAACTTTTTGTTACATTTTTTTTCTTTTTTTTTTCAGATCCAAAATGAACGTCAAGGCGGCTTTGGCCATTACTATGGTCTTTGTGGGATGTTGTTCCAACGTAGTGTTTTTAGAGATGGTTGTAAAAGAAGACCCAGGCGCGGGTAATTTAGCAACATTCCTACAATTTTTATTCATCGCCACAATGGGATTTATTACAGTTGGAAAATTCGGTACAGCGAAAAGAAATATTCCATTCAAACAATATTTATTACTAGTTGGATTTTTCTGGACGAGTAGCGTTGCGAACAACTATGCATTCGATTTCAACATATCGATGCCTTTGCACATGATATTTAGAGCTGGATCGTTGATGGCAAACATGGCTATGGGAGTATGGATCTTAAAGAAGAGCTACCCACCTTTGAAGTACCTGGCCATCTTCATGATATCAGCTGGTATAGCTTTATGTACTATAGTATCAAGTGGCGATGTGAAAGCACCTAGAGAAACTCACGAAGATGCAGCTGAGGAAGAGAGACTGAAGTTCATTGACTGGCTCTGGTGGTGTCTAGGAATAGCCATCCTAACCTTCGCCCTATTCGTATCAGCTCGTATGGGAATCTTCCAAGAATCACTATACTCAAAATACGGAAAGCATCCATGGGAAGCGTTGTACTACACGCACTTACTACCACTAGTATTCTGGTTGCCAACAGCCTCAAATCTTATTGGACACGTCAAAATCGCCACAGAAACGCCTATAGTAGAATTCCTTGGCTTTGAATTCCCAAGGCAAGTGTTGTGGTTAATACTCTATGTCTTAACTCAGGGATTATGCATCAGCGCTGTTTACGTATTAACAACTGAATGTGCGTCTTTGATCGTGACCTTGACAGTGACATTAAGGAAGTTTGTATCGCTTCTCTTCTCCATCGTTTACTTCAGAAACCCATTCACTCTTGGACATTGGATTGGTACTCTCCTAGTCTTTATTGGTACCATGATCTTCACTGAGCTCCTACAGAAGACGGTAGCATTGTTCGTACCATCGAAAGTCGAGAAGAAGAAGAAGAAATAATACGCAATGTGTTTTAGATAATCAGACTGTATGGAATAGTGTGATTGGTTTCGTGGTGAGAATAGTCCCTGCAAGAGCTGGTCCATTCTAGATAAATAATAATAGTGATTTCTTCTACTATAATAGTGCTTAATCAAACTTTTTACCATAGACGTTTCTCTCAGCTAACCTGGCTAAGTATTCAACACAGTGCTATTTAAAAATGCAAATTCTAGTGATAAAAACAAGTTCGAGATGTGCACACCGTTATTCTACAGTTATAAAAATAGCAACTCTATAGTGATATGATTGTAATCAATTGTCATGGACGCGTATATTCAATTGTTTGAAGTGCTATCGTAAGGTTGCCAGTAGTTATTCAGTTACATGTTACATACTAAATTCATAAGATAAAATAAAAATAGATTATATTCAGGACTAATTAAACCCTTTAAAACAAAAATTGCTGTAGATAATACTTAAACAATTTCACCGTAAAATAATATTTAAAGTTATTTATCCAATTTATATTGACGTCTATGTAAAAATAATAAGTTTGTTAATAGTTCATTTCTGAAGGCTCAAACAGATAACAGTTTTGTAATTTGATATATTTTCATGTAATGTAAAGTTTGTTAAAGCAAAAAATTATTATTCATATGTGATTAGTAAGTGTAGCTAAATGCAGTAGTTATAATATTGTTGAAAATGTTATTAATTAATTCTGGACTGAAAGTCTCTATTTCTTTAATGCATTTTCAACGTTATCCTTCTGTAATAAGGTTGAAAATCAATAATTAAAATTTACGAGTATTGTCACTGATAATCTTGGGAATATTAGTTCAGTTATAATTCATTGCGTCCACAAATATTGTTACAACAAATCAATTGTATCATCACAAGATTTATCACAAATCTATCTAATATTTTCAAAATGGTGACTTGAATTTATTGTTATTTTACCGTGAGCTACTTACTCATAACGAGTTCTTCCTATCAATGATAATATTACAAGTCATTCAATGATAATATAAATATAATCACTATATGAAGCAGTTTAGTGCTCTGTCATTCCACGTCTAATAGACCGGTAACTAAGATGATTATATCATGTCTTGTCATCATTTAGCGTCATTGTAGATTATGCAAAACAGTTTCGATATTTTTGATGAATTTCTAAATTAGTCTAAATGACTGCCTCGTTGGCCGAGTGGTCGCAAGTGCGACTGCCGGGCAAGGGGTCTCGGGTTCGATTCCCGGGTCGGGCAAAGTATTACTGGGTTTTTAAAAATATCTCAGTTGTAGCACGGACTCTGGAATTGTGCCCGGTATATGGCAATAGGCTCACCCTCTATTACATGGGAGTCATAACATAAATAGTGAAAAGTGGGTGTTACATTGTACAGTGGCATAATGTGCACCTCTGCCTACCCCTTCGGGGATGAAAGGTGTGATGTTATGTTATGTTATGTCTATTAATATATAAGTACAGTAACGCTGTTGTTTTTAAGGTACTTTTCGTTAATTAACTTCAATATGCCTGAAATTTCATGGGATTTGAATACTGTATGTGTATATTCGATACATTTGTAAGGTTTCCTCGTTTCCATTTTGGTTTATTTTTCTAATTTCCGACTTTATAAGCGACGTGGATTACTTTACATGAGTAAAACTCTAAAAAGTAAAAAGTGAATATAGAAAATAAACCGGCCTGTATTGAATTTACAAACATTCGGTAATATTATACAAACACAATATAGCTCACGATTTCTTTAAAAAAATATTGAATCATTCAACTTACTGGTTTCTTTAAATATTTTTTGTTCGTACTCAACGCATGCGCAAGGTCGTCTCTAATCGTTCATCAGATTTATGTTGTTCTGAGTTATTTATATGACGGATTGTTTATTTTTACATATTTATTATGTCTTATGTTATGTTTATCTGCATATAATTGTGAGACAAAGTAGTAATTACACTTATTTTATGCTGTTTAATGATAATGATTGTTACATAATTAGTTCCTGATTAAGACAATATTAGTGCCATATAAATTACCGGGGCGATCATATAACATGTGAAAAAATACAGTTGCTAAGTTCAATATAGTAGATTTTCAACTGTATCTCATAAGGAATAAGGTTGAGAGTATCTATTAAAGAAATATATACAATCCAAGACTTACCAGCTGTCAAGATTTTCGAACTTATACTTTAAGGTGTAAAGTTGAAAATCTATTGAAGTAATTTGACATTTTAGGGTGTTGATCAACTGGTTACGATGTTAAGGGATAGGTACTTGCATTACATAATTAGAGTTGGTGATTTATAAAATATTTATTTTTTGTTGCAACATTAACTTATGAGAAATTGCTATTTAAAGTGATACGATTGTTTATTTATTATGATGTAAAACTATTTTAAACATAGAACGTAAAGATTCTATTAAGTTGATAAAGTAAAATCAGTTATGGAAGTGTTAATTTAATCTGTTCTATTAGGATACAATATTCATTTAAATGGTCAGACACCATAATTATATGCCCGTTCAGAAATGTAAACCTAATTATAAAATTATTATGAAAACATTAATTCACATCTGTCATTCTGACAAGTGTCAAAGTGACATTTGTAGAATAATAAAATAGTAATAATTTATTATGGTTGGAATTTGTTGCCTTTCTTATGGACGTATTGAGCGTGGATTATTTTTATATATTAACAATTTAATTGGATTTTGTATATGAAAAAGCAGCCTATATGCCACGGGTGTGATGCTAAGTATAGATCAATTTTTTATGTGATTAAATATAAGTTCTAATTGTTATGAAATAAATTAACAGGTTTTTATAAAGTATGCATGTTTTTTACTTATCCTAGAGCCTTTTTTGAGAACGTAGTTCACAGTTTATAGTATTATTATCTAGCATTGCAAATAAGCAATTTATTTTATAGACGGGTAGACCATTTCAAAAGATGTTGTGTAAACAAATAGTAAGGTGTAGCAAAACATACAAAAATTACCTAATCGTATTAGTAAGTATCCCATATCGATTACAACTTCATTTTTAATATTATTTCATCATTCTTAGCTAGCGATGTTAAATTATCTTGATACATAATTATTTAACAAATACTTCAAATAGTTACGAATCATTATCTACTAAGTATACATCAATTTGATATTTAAAAAGTTTCTAAACATAACTAACAAATAACCGAGTCCGTCTGTTACATGCACCTCTGTCTCAAATCGCTACATTCATCAAGGATATCTCTACTTACATCCTTGGAAGTAATGACAAAACAAGAACGTAACTAGTCTCCAACTCTTCGGCCAATAAAATTAGCTCTCGATTAATAACGCCCTATTTAGGTACTAAGGTCTTATCTAGATTATGAATACGCGTAATTTATGTCTTGTCATAGATACCACAGCTATAAATATCTGCATGTAATAGCAGCTGATCATAAAAATCTAGGCGGTGTGTTCACGATTACAGGTTTTCATAACTGATTAAACATTGGTTATTGCATTTCATCACACATCTTTTATTATTTTTCTGTTTAATCATAGTGGCCTCGTTGGCCGAGTGGTCGTAAGTGCGACTGCCGGGCAAGGGGTCTCGGGTTCGATTCCCGGGTCGGGCAAAGTACTACTGGGTATTTTATAAATTCTCAGTAGTAGCACGGAGTTTGGAATTGTGCCCGGTATATAGCAATAGGCTCACCTCCTATTATATGGGACTCATAATATAAATAGTGAAAAGTGGGTGTTACATTGTACAGTGGCATAATGTCTCTGCCTACCCTTTGGGGATAATAGGCGTGATGTTATGTTATGTTATGTCATAGTGAGTTGTGAACTCTGCCGGGTTGGTTGAGTGATTTTAAGTGCTGATGGAACACTGGGACATATAGTACAGTAGTCAGCAGATCAATCTACTCCAATCTGTCAAATTCCTTCATTGGATTTTCGACTTTATGTCAATTATAATAAAGTTGAAGATGCAATACAGGAATTTGATCGAAAAGGATAGGCTGGCCTGACGGCCACCGTACCTATAATACCAATCTTTATAAAAAACTGGAATGCATTATAATTAAACTATGCATAGAAACGATTTTAAGCTCATTCTTTATTGTAGATTATTTCAAGTACCTTATTCATGTATTTTTATCAACGGCAATATCTGAGCAGAAAACGCTAAGTCATCATTACAATAGCCATTTGCTATGTCCTTTATTTGACCTTGCTTCTATAACATAAACTCATATGTGCTAAGATATGACTGAGACTATGAGAGGTGACTGGGAGAAAATGCCATATGGCATTAAGTCCGCCTTATATACCTTATTTTGTGTGCATTAAAGTGTTAATAAATAAAAAAAAATAAAAAAATATTATGTATGTCTAAAGCATTGCTGTCGGTTCTTATTCTTAGACAGATGGAAGCCTTATTTTACTACAATATGTACTGCTATATATTTCTACAAAAATACACTTAAACTGTGATAAATTGGGAATTAGTACCTGAAAGATTCCCAATACTGGATCGCTTGTTACTCTCTAATGAACACGTTTTATCGTAGATAGTTCTACAATACAATAATCTAGTTTACCTCATAAGTGATTTATATAGACAAATAAATATATTTTCTTGCTTCTTTCTAATTGTCGCAGTGTCCCGGAGATTAAGGCACCCGCTTGTCAAGCAAGAGGATGCGGATTCGAAATCTGGCAAGTACCAATGTGACTATTTCATGTTGTCTGTACTTTTCGTTTTCCTTGGATGCCACTGGAACCCTTCTTTCTTTCTTCCTGAACTTTCCTGGCTAAGTTTGAGTCAGCACTGAGCCTGAACTCGGCTAAATATCAGTCTGACCTTTATTATCCACAAAAGGGTAATGCGATGTTCTTGGTCAAAATTTTCTAGAAAAACTTTTAGATGAATAATTGGAAACATAATGCCAAGAAGTGCCGAATTTCTTCCTTCTTAAGTTTGCATGGGATCTGTAATC